GTCACTTCTTGTTTTGTAGATCTTAGTTTTTAAATATATGCCAGTAAATAAATTAAATTGAAAATAAAGTTGGTCAAACCTCGTAAAAAGAAACGGGAAGAACGTTTCAGGATGGATGAAGCATTTGACATGTAGGAATTGAATATGGAAAAATCTCCTATTACCATGGATCATTTAGCCCTGTCAATGGGTCTGATTTATTAGACTTGAACCCAACTCGAATCCGTCAATTATTTTGGAGTATAAGGTCCTTAACCGACCCGAATTCGGATACATTATTTATTTAATATAAAGGGTCAAGTATATTGTTAAATGTTTCAAACCATTCAAGCCCCGACTCGTTCTCGTTGGATGTATAAGATAGAGTAATACTAGGGGTGCACCAAAAAATGTGCCCTATGTGTAATAGAGACACTAAGAGGGTGTTTGAGATTGCATTTGAAAATAACTTATAGCTTCTACTTTACTAAAACACAATTTTAAATGTTTGCTAATCTGCTTTAGCTTATAAATTATGACTTTAGAAGTTAAAATTAAAGCCTAGAAGTGCTTTCTAGCAAAGCTACAAATACATGCTTTCTACTTCTAAATTATGACTTCTACTTTTACATAACTCACCACACTCCCAAACACCCTCTAAGTGTCTGTGATCACAGATACTTAGTGTCTACGTTTTCCTAGTGTACAAACGAGGTACACCATTTTGGTGTACCCCTAGTTAAAGATATAACTACGAGTATGGAGTATAAAATATTTTGACATGTCCTTCTTCCCCTTATACTGCATACTCTACCAAAGATTAATGTTTCCATATATATATATATTGTTTTACTCTGTAACATTAGACAAATTCGATCTATGGTAGACTTAACGTCCACCAAGAACCTACATATAAGCAAAATAGACATATCTTTACTTCTTAAATAATCATCTATTTTTTTAATGAAAGAATTTTTAAAAAAATTATGAGAGAAGGTCGACAAAAATGGTATGCACCCAAGATGCACCATAGAAGCACTCGTAACAGTATTCATTATCGTACCGCATTTGGTCATAATTACTTAACGGATTCCACAATTTTCTTAGATTAATTTTTTTTAAATGTTATGCTAGTCTTGCTTTTAAAATTATTCAATTCAAATATTTTTTATTTACATTATTTCCACTAATTTTATCAATTATATGGTAGAAAAAACAACGGTTAATATTTATCACGGATATACCCAACCCGACACCGAGATCCAATGAGTCTAAAAAATATTACTCCGTATGTAACATCAAGACTCATTGGGTAAATAGCTATGGGTTAGTAACATTTCTTAAATGGGTACATGTATGGAACATTGTCCCGCTCGAACTCGACCCATTGGCAAGTGTAAAATCATTTATAAAATTTATTCTTTATAAAATATAACTAATTATCTACTCCCTCCGTCCCATAAAATCAGTCCCATTTCGAAAAATTTGCATCCCTTAAAGTTCTTCTCATTTGCCAAAAAAAGACTCATTTACCCTTAACCCTAATTTATTCCCACCCAACCCCACTTCTCCCAATCGAGCCTGTCTATCCCATCGTCCTTATCAAAATACTTCTCTCTCTCTCTACCTCTTCCTTATCGCCTCCACTTCCTCTTTTCTAATCTATCTTCTGATATCTTTTCCACTCTCCTACTTTGAATTCGAATCACCAGTAATGGTGATTTGTGACCCTACAATGCCAAGCTTCAAGCTATTAAGTGATACAGATGAGGAAACGCCTAATCATACGCGAAGCAGAACTTCTCTAAAGCATCGAATCCTTAAATACGACTCTAGAGATAGTGGATCTGGAACTTCAGATACGGATCCAACCTGGTGGTACCGTAAAAAGTTTCTTGGGGGAGACCATTTCCCGTCGGAGGATAATAGGATGGGGAGGATGAAGAATCTGTTACGTCTGAGCGCATCCTAGAGATATCTGATACTGAAATTTTTTTTGCTCAACCCCTTGGAGATGAGGCTAAGGGACGATGCTTCAGACAGAGTATTATTAGTCTGCTCCTTTAATTAACATTACACAGCTATTTGAATGTCCCCCTTCCGTGTTCATTGGCAAACTTATGATGTGAAATTACAATTTTCTTACTCATTGGATATATGTGAGCTTTATTTGTGTTTGAAGCTATATTGTAATGTCACCCCGTATAGGTTGGAGACTTTGAATACTCAATTGGTCTTTGCATTTGGTCTACTCTTGTTCTTTGTTAGGTTATGTGACCTTCAATTTGATAAAACAGATGTTGTAGGGTAAACATATGCTACGCTGCTCTACTTGAACTTGATAAAACAGATGCTATACTGCTCTTACTTGAAATTCATAAAACAGATGCTACACAAGAATCATACTTGAACTTAATAAAACAAATGCTACAATGGTCTTACTTGAATTTCATAAAACAGATGATACAAAAAGAGTCATACTTGAACTTGATAAAATAGATGCTACACAATAGATACAAGCCTTAAGTCTATGTCAGTTAGATACTACACTTCTTCTTCTTTAGCTAACAAAAAAGTTGCAAAAAGGTTTTCAATTGGAAGTGCATTTAGGCATTGTGCTTTCCACTGACCATGTTTGCACATACAAAAAAAAGTTCCAAAAAGCATAGTACTCACATCATTTCCTGAAGAATGTTTGTGCCTTCTGAAAGACTTCAATACTGACCCCTAACTTATGTGGCGGTCTACCTTCTCTGGCCAGTTTGGTTTTCTCAATGTGAGGGATTTTTAACTGGTTCCCTCCATTGATGTCTAGAAACTGACCCATGACCCCTTGTAAGGTTAAGAACACATTATTCAGCTTTTCATGTGATAGTTCTTCAAATGCCGTTGTTACAGCATTAATCAAGTGTTCCAATGACCTGGGAGTTGATTGGTCCTGCAATGAATCATTGGCCCTAAAGAATCCAAAATCAAGTACATTAAGATATGGCTATTAGGAGGTTAGAATTTAAGTTTAATGTTCCACTCTCCTTCTTTAGCTGCTTGAACAAATTGATGGTCATTTTCATCCACATGTGGTTTGGCATTATCCTGTTGGATAATCTGGATGAACCTGGCCATTTTTCTTTTATTGGAGGCAGTACCTTAGTAAGTAACATCATCAGCATGACCTCTCTAGTGATGTTAGGGATATGTTTCACTTCCATAGTCCCTGCAGGTCTATTTTTACTGATCCTTTGAGCTTCTGCTAAGTAAGTGAAAGGGAATATGCCTATTTTTCCATCCCACATAAGGTCCCCATCCTCCACATACCTTGGCCTACCAACAGCTGCTAAAAACATGATTTTGGGTATGAAACTTTTGTTTTGAACTATCTTATAAGGGTCTGCTTCAGTTGGTAATGCATAAAATGATGTGCTCTTTTTGCTGATCTCAAACCACTTTTCATCAATGTGAATGTGATCATAAAAGTCATGGAAAGTTGGGTTCATGGGGATTGATTGGGCAACAACATGCTTCACACAGAATTTAAGCCTTTTAAGCCTACCTTCTTTACTTAGAAGTGGCTTAATGGCATTGGAATGCCTCCTGATCTCTTTCCACTGAAGCCATCTATGGATAGTTGATTTTGAGACCTCCATAGCATATCCAAGTGCACACATGTTTTTTCACCTATTAAAAGGCATAGTTGCCATCTTTTCTGTGTCAATAGGTGTTCTTTTTCTCCCACACTCTCCTTTCCACTAACATTGAACATCAATGGGTTGACCAACATCCAATTGAGTTTTAGCTATAGACCATATTCTGCTTACTGTTTTCCTGCATATGCTGAATTCATCAGCAACTTTATTGATGCTACCAAGCTAAAGTTTCTCATCCCTTGCATGTTGTAGTAAAAAGTCAGCAACCCTTTTTCTAGTTTGATTTTGTAGCACACCTTTGTTGTTCATTTCTGTCTCTCTTTCAGGAGTTCTAAAGCTGGAAAAAGTGTAATACCCTGTATCAAGATGGGAATGGGAAGAGCTCAAAATGATTGATAGTACTACTCATACCAACAAGGTGCGTCTTCTTTTCGAGAGCTCATCACCTAATAAAAACTTCAAAGTTAAGCGTGTTTGACTTGGAACAATTTTAGGATGGGTGACCCCCTGGGAAGTTTTCCTTGGGCGCGCACGAGTGAGGACAAAGTGTGCGAGAAAGACTTGTGTTAGTTTGTGGGGCTAGTCTACAATCCTATGAGCGAGCACTTACGGCTAGGGTTGGGGCCGGGGTGTTACAAAAAGGCACCTCAATTAGAGAAGGAAGATGGTTAACTGAAGCTAATTCTTCTTCTGAAAAGAGAATGGAATTAGAAGAAAAAGTGGGGGATGACACCATGGTGGATTCTACCATTGGAAAGGAAGACTAAAAAAGAAAGTGCTTTAAATGTTTGGCATTCAATGAATGCCTTAAATAGAAGCCTGTTATTCTTTTCTTTTTTGGGTTTTGGGGGGATTAGTATGGAAGGAAACTAATTTCCCAAAAACCTCAAAAGTTTCAGGATGTTTATGGCCTGACAGCTATATCATGTAAGCATCAATATGTATCACAACTTATTTAATGCAATTGTACTTGCATTTATACTTTATTCTTATTTTAATGTTATTACACACTATTCACTTATTTGAAGTGCCCCCAGCCCCACTACTACTTTTGCTTTTGAGTGTATTTTGGGAAAGTCAAGGGCCAAAAAAACATTCCTTAATTTGCCACGTTGGTCAAACCATCCCAATCTTTTTGGGATAGAGAAAATATTTGACAACAATTTTCGCATTTAGCTTTCACATTTTGAAAAGACAGCCTATCTACAACATTTAGCTTTAGCGTTTTCAAACTTAATATATACCATTACAAATTTATCCAACGTTAATTGGAAATTTTTGTGTCCAAACAAGGCCCAAGTTCAAACCAATGCCCCCTATGCAGAGAGTTTTCTTGCACGTCCTTTAGAGAGATTTCCTTTGCTGAGCTAATTCATTAAATTCTAAATGCTATTATTAATGCGAGTAATAAATATCGATGCAACCCAATAACACATCATCAATAAATGAAGAAGAGTAAGTGCTTAATGATTATACAAACACACTCCAACTATGATGAAGGACCCAATACAGAAAACTCCACAATGAAATATCATTTGTTCGCAGCTTTTAATAAGCTCATTCAATCTTGGGCCATTTAAGCTTGCTTTGCGCCAACAGCGAAAAATTCGGTAATGACCTCAAGGGGCATGCCTTTGGTTTCAGGAACCCTCAGGAAGACAAAAAACCAGGAAATAACGCAAACGATAGTATAAATGCCAAATACCCCAGCTAACCCGATTGAACTGAGCATCACCGGCAATGAGTAGGTAACAATGACGTCACATATCCAAAAAACAAGAGCACACATAGCAATGCAAAGGCCGCGAACCCTTGTAGGAAAGATTTCCGCACATAGGATGTTTGGGATCGGTCCATAGCCCATCACAAAGCAGCAGAAGTAGAGAATCACACACACGGTGGAGAGAACAGCATGAGCAATAGTGCCAAAGTCAGCAATGTTAGCAACGACGAGTACAACAAGGGAGATTACTAGAACAGGAATTGTGGAAAGCAGCAGCGTCCTGAAATTAAATCGTTACTTGAAATATGTAAGATTCAAGCTCTGGAAAAATAAAAACTCATAGAAACCATAGTTTTAAAAACCGGACCGGACCGGCTGGTTCGGACCGGGAACCGGCGAACCGGAGGTCAAACCGGTCCGGTCCAGCCCCAAAGACCGGCAAGTGCACCGAACCGGTGCAAACTGCCTAGAACCGGTGCGAACCGGGTAGAACCGGTCCGGTTCAACCGATGACAATTTTTTTTTTTGCACAAATGTTTCAAAAATTGTTAGTAGTGGGTTTCGAACACACAACCTACTGCCCGCTAGCTCGCCTATCTACCATTTAGCTACCATCCCTTTTGTTGCATGAATACATTATTTGTTATATATTACATTCTTAAAAATAAACAAATATACATATTCTCAAAAGACTTTTTTTATGATTAAAAATTCTAAAAATATAATGTTGAAACTATGATTCAAACTCTAAAATATTGATGCAATGGATTCTAATATGAACTTCATATCATAAAACTATTAACTCATTTAAATATTTTAAAAATATTGTGTAAATTATAAAATAAAAAATATAAGCTCTTATTTTATAATTTTTTATTTGTTTAAATAAATAACTATATATATATATATATTGAATTTTCAAATATGTGTGAACCACTGGTTCGACCACTTGAACCACCGGTCCGACCAGTGAAGCAGTACCTTGACCGGTTCGGTCTCCGGTCCGGTTCTGAAAACTATGATAGAAACTGCCTTTCATGCTTGAAAGGGATCAGGGGAAAAAACATTTATTCAAGGTTCGTTACCTTCTACCAGAAACATCCATGAATCGCATGGCAACAGCTATAGAAGGAAGCATTAAAAGGTTGGTAAAAGCACTGATAAGGAAAGATGCAGAATCTGAAGCAAGGCCTAGGTTGGAGAGTAGAACAGATACACCCGCCTGCTCCAGAATTTGAGGGGTGTAGTACATAACCCCATTTATACCAGAGAACTGCAAAACATGATCAGGTGCTTTAATTATATGGCTTGCAGATATATAAGGAATTTCATTTGCCAAAACAGAATACCAAAATAACCTATCCCACATATTACAAATTTTAAATGATAAACAAATAAAACTCCAAGTGAAGTTGATATACATAATGGTTCATTTGCACTCCATGCTCTATATACCCAAATACTCCCTCCGTCTAGCAAAAAAGCATCACTTTTGTTATCTAGATGTCCTAAAGAAACTTCACTTCCCTTTTCTGTTTAAAGAAACTTCACTTCCCTTTTCTGGTGCAGTTTTCACGGGTAGTTACAGCCAGAAGATTTCATACTTTACAATTTCGTTGCATCTTTGTGCATATCATTGATTGTTACACAGGACTGTATTTGGGAGATTTACATGACTTCCAGTGGATAGTCAGTGCTAGGACGGTTTTATAACTTTTATCTAGGCCTTTCAGATCCTTTGGTGTCAACTGTTATGGTTTTGGAACTAGATAGTTCTTTCTAGTTGGTTTTCTTCCCTTTGCCCCTATTTGTTTTAAGTTGGACATTTCTTTCTTTTTTGGGCTATTCTTGGGCTGCCCACCCCATAATTTCTGTACTCTGCTTTTTATTTTAATTTAATTAATAAGATAGGGTTTTCCTGGAACCTACCACACCCTTGGATGATGTTTCCAAGCTATATATATGTGTGTGTGAGTGTGTGTATGTATACACACACACACACACATATATATGAAACATCTAGTTAGGTTAATTCATTATAAGAAAGTATCAAAGTACCTATAGAACCATTAATAAATAAATAAAACTTTTCAAAGATCAAGAAAGAATCAAACGAAGAAAAGCCTTCTACCTGTTGCAAGATTTGAAGCCCTATTCCGACAATGAGTGCACGTTTGACGCCTGGTTCAAGAAGAGCAGCCCATCCAGGCCCTTTTGAAGCTGTTTCTGATGGATGAACCATTGCTGGCCCAATTGGATGCTGATCCATGAGTTCCTTGGAATAAAGAGCAGGCTGACTTACCAAAGCTGCAGCCTGAATATATTCACCTTCGGCAGGAACATCGCCACCAGGAAGTGAAACAAGAGAACCACGACGAGATCCACGGAGCCCATCCCCTTCCTGGTGTAAATATATTCTTCTAAACCCTCCTTTTTTACCATCACCAACTTCTCCTTCAGACCATTTCCATGCTAACTGCCACCCACCACCAATACCCGTGCTGCCAAGTGCTTCTCCAGCATTTCCCTGTAAAAGGGTGCTATGACGTCTCATAGTCAGTGTGCTGCCATGAGAAACAGGAGGGACCATATCCTTTTCTACACTTGTCACTTGTCGTGAGATCAGCGGACTCTGTAAATTGTCATCTGAATCTGCATCTGCAGCATCTGATGTGTAATCCTCTCCCTCTCTTTGGAGACTCTCTTCATCCCACTGTTCATTTTTAGCATGCTCAGCCGTGCTTATCATACTGCCAAAATTAGGGAACAGCATACTTCGCATGCTTCCTGATTCAGGTAACTTCTCATGAACACTTCCAAAGAGAGTCACAAGGGGATCCATAAGAGGGACACTTTGGTTTACCATGCTTCCTTGCCTCGATGCAAGTGCAATACTACTCTGTCCAAAAACCGGTTTGGCAATCCACGATAGACCCTCCTCAGGTCCATACAACTTTATAAGATCCTTGTCTTCTGCTAGGTCGTGGTCCTCCCCAACCTCATCTGCTGGGCCAATGATATATTCTTCGATAGATGTCTCACCACCAATAGCAAGACCTTCAACAAGCAACGCCATCTCCCCTGTGTGTGCGAAACAAGGATCAGTGCAATGTAACAGATTGCATACCTTCATATGAATTTGAGACTTGTATCTGACATAATGACATTAATAAAAAACAAACAGTTCTTGTTCAATTGACAAGGCTAACCATGACCTATTTTAGTTGGGCCTGCATGGGAAGAGACAGACAAATATAGAAGTTGTTGAAGTATTTCAGATTATTGTCATTTTATTTTAAGTTGGGTTGTGCTGCTCTAAAGAAGCTTAGTGAGGAATGATTTTATACTCTAAAGAATCTGATCGCCTCCTCAAGAAAATGCCATTTGGGCATGAATCATGACTGCAACAAACACTTTTTCATACTTTGTGCATAGATCAATGTGGGGGCCGCTGAAAATTGAACTTGTGACTTCTTGGACAACAAGACCTTCATATCGTGTCAAAGAACCAACATAATCAAGAGGCAAAGCTAATAGTTGGAGGAGATCCACAAAGGGTTGTATACTCTAATAGCAAAGTCATCTTAGTGCACATGATCGAAAGAATCCAAGCGTTTTCTTGGACATGTGAATGCAATATTAAGCATGGTTTTCAAAGGCATTTGAGGTGGTGTGGCTTGAGGCAATGATGCTTCAAGGCAGCGAGTCTAAGCCTTGCTTAAGCATCATATTGGCATTTCAAAGTCTAGGCCTTAGCTGGATGAGGCGTATTGAAGCGTGTGAGGCACAAGGGGTAAAGGAGGCTTAAGCCTTTGATTTTGGAACTTTTGAATATAATGGATTATTTTATAAAAGCTAATGGACATGGATGTATATTTTATTTATTTTTCTTTCGTTTCTCACTCTCTCAGTCTTTTACTTCACTCCATTCTAGTACATATAAACCTAGTACATTGCATATTTCATCTTTACCTAAATACAGAGTAATATTGACTATTTATTTTGCATTCTTTTAAAAAATGACTATGAATAGCTTCAAAACTTTTGTTTGACAGGAGCATAAATAATGCATTTTATTGTATTTATTTACTCCCTCCCTCCCACTACTTTTGTCCCTTTTTACTTTTTTTGTTTGTCCCTCTATTTTGTTGCATACCATATTCGGTCATATTTGGGAAGTTCACATTCGTTCTTATTTTATTTTACTTTTTATAATCAATATCAACCATACAATTTTACCTTTCTTAATTTTCGTTCCGCTCCCTCAAGTCCCAAAAATAGTAGGACGAAAAGAGTACTTTTTTATTTGGGAACGTCTCATTGAGGCTAGATTGACGAAGGCAGGGAACATTTCAGAGAATCGGTCTGGTTTCATGTCTGGCCGGTCTCCTAAAGGGAATGATGGAAAAGTATAGGGACAAGAAGAGGGACCTATAGATGGTATTTATTGACCTACAGATGGTATTTATTGACCTACAGGCTACAGATGATAGAGTTCCAAGGGAGATCTTGTGGAGGTGCCTAGGGCCCATAGGGCTACCGGTTGCTTTAAACTGTGTGGTCCAAGACATGTATGTCAAGATGAGGACTAGCAATAAATGGTATTCCTACCTCAAGAAACCAAATAATTTTTAGTGGCTACCCCAATGGGTATATCTCGCGTAGTTATATGTGGCCTGCCATTAGCGAAATAGAAATTATTTTGCTATGGATCCACACCTTGAGATTCTGGGTTACCCTTTAATGCTTGGTTGATTTGCCAAAGCAGTAGTATTGAATTGTTTTGTTGTGGTCTTTAGGGTTGCAACTTCAACTTGATCAAAATTTCCCATAGGTGCCTGTGGAAGTAGTATTTGTTTAAGACGTGGCAGTAGAGACGTAGAGTTATTGGAGATGGAGATATGGTTAGTTGCGGAAATTATGATTCATTTCTGACAACGATGGTTCAGGAAGTGAAAAGGTTTGATGTATTGATGTGGGCGATGGTGGGTGCGATGGTGGTAAATTGTGGAAAAGTTACTATACTAGTTTTTAGGGACAGAGGTAGTAGTTTAATACCCCAACCATACGCCAACCATACTAAAAAGATATTGCCCATGTTGAAAACTACGGCTTGCACTTGACAGCTGTTCACAAAAGTTCAAGAAGTTAGCTGCCAACTTGCATATATATTTACAATAATAACTGGTCACTCAAGTTATTATAAATAGTTAGTGTCATTAGGAATTAAAAATGTTAATTTATATGTGCAAGTGATGTTCAATCTATCCTTGAGATGGGAAATTTGGTTATTAAGAAACCCAAAATAGTGAACAATTACGCATCTTTAATGTTTGTTATCCCATTCAACCATGTTCCGGCATAGCGTAATATCTAAATCAAGAATGGATCATACATCCGAAATTCAATCATGTGTAATGAAGTAAAAATAGTAAAATACCTGAAACATCTTCTCTCCCACGCAATTGCTGCAGAACTCGTTTTGCCTCAAGCATCCTTCCTTTACTAACTAGCCATCGAGGAGACTCGGGCAAATAAAACACTGCTAATGCAAAATATGCAAGCGACGGGATTGAAAGAACTCCAAGCATCAATCGCCAGCTTGGTCCAGTCGTCAATGACATTCCAAAAATCATACAATATGCCAAAAACATTCCACCAGAACCAGTGAACTGGGGAAGAGTATTCAATAATCCTCTTATTTCTGATGGAGCTGTCTCAGATATGTAGAGTGGGACAAGAGTGACTGCTAATCCAATTCCAAATCCATCCAATAGCCTCGCTATAAGTAATACATAGACATTAGGTGACCATAACATTATCAAACCACTTAGGAAATAAAACATTGATGAGAGTATAAGCATTGGCCGTCGACCAAGCCAATCTGATACGGATCCAGAACATGTTGTGATAAGTGTGGCTCCAATGAGAGACGTGGCTACAACAAGTCCTTCCATATATGTTTCCAATGCGAGCTCCTTCTTTAAGTAAACAACAGATCCTAGAGTAATAATAAGTTGCAGGATTAAAACAACATTGAATTATTTGAATAGCACATATGTTGGCCTTGTAGAACACACTTTCGGCTATGGTTAGAGGAAAAACAACCAATCAACAGACCTATTATAATCTCAACTCCGATGGGAAGGGAAAACAACCAAATCTGATATATTTACTGAAGAAAATAATATAAAGGCATTCAATGGCCCGCGTCAAGGAAGAAAGGAAATTGGAAGAAAAACAATATTTAAACTTAAAGATATGCTTTCAGGCAGCTGGAACAAGGAATGATCTATCAATAGGTAACTAAATTGTGTGTCTAAAGCATAGTTATCAGGGTACCGCCTTGGCATCCCAGAAATGGGAGGAGCTTACCAGGTGCACTTGACTGGCCAGGTAGAAGAAAGGCATCAAAGTCATTATTTGTGTCAGATCCAGTAAACCCTCAAAATCCACAACCAAGAGAGACGAGTAATTAACCCTAGCCGTGTTACTATAGATCAAAACTGTTCATGAAGCTAATGCCATGACATTAGGTCTTCTCTCCTACTCTTCCTGCTTTCTTCGTGTTGTGTGTTTCTTGTATTGACATAATACATTTATTCTTCTTCCTATTTATTTTTCACTTTAACGACCTAAAATAAATCCAGTTCCCTTGTGTTTTATTTTTTCTACATTTTATTCTGTAATTAAAAGTTCTTCTGGTTTAGTTCTTCCATTCTTTATAATTGTTTTTCGCAAATTTCTAATTGTTTTTCACAAATTGTATGTCTCTAAATATGTTCATATTACTTGTGGGCAAGAGTTGAGTGGATGGGAGCAATCAAATTTATAAATTACAGTATGCTATATGCTATATGACACGTTACAATATGTCAAATAGCATGTATGTTCATATTGTAATTTGTAATTTACAAATGACAATATGCTATATGACATATTTAAATTAATGTTGACATATTTATTACTGATGACTTGTCACCAAATTGTTGCCTAAGCAGTAGACTAGGCATCCTGGCAGTCAGTAGACGTCGCGCCTCACCTTGGCACCATGATAACTATGGCTGAAAACGATACAAAGAAGAAAGAACAATACCTGCAATGGTGGCATTATCCCAGCCCTGCAAAAAGTTTCCAATAGTAGCCGCAATCGCCACTAGAACAGCCCCCTTCATTTACCACAACTCTGAATAAAATGCCAACTAGTTTGAACTATAGGAGTGAATCCAAGGTATGTTTTCCACCAAAAGAGTACAGATCCAGAAGAATTGAATCTTGCTACTTCAAAGCAAATCTTAATCTGCTAGAGTAGTTAGCATTTATTAAAATGGTTCCATCAAAAGATAAATAAAATTATATAATACGGAGTACGAGAAATCAATGAACATCAATGAAATGGAAAATACAAAAACAAAACTAGGGGTTCAAAGTGGAAAAGACTGCTTACCTTTATAGCAAAAAGGAGTCCAGACCTCAATTGCTCAAAGTGAAAACGAAATCTGTAGAGGAACCAAAGGCGAAAGGGGATAGCATTACGGTACAGTATATTACATTTATTAATATAGCGTAAGCTTTAAAAAAGGCACAGCTAATTTGCAGCACAAAAGGCTTTGGTTTAGGTGGGCAACTTTGGCGGATTTATCAAGAAAATTAATTTATGAATGATAAGATATTTGATTGAAGATACCATCTTTCAGCTTAAAAGCCACTAATTATAAGCCATATAAAGAACATCGAAACACACCCAGACGCTCAAATTGAAAAAGGGCTCATAAACCGTGAAAACAAATCCATACTTATTGTCAAGATAACAGCAGATGCAGAAGAAAACCAAGTAGAAGGAAGGATTGAATATACCGAAGCAATCAATCAGTAGAGGGAGACATCAAGGACCAACTGAAAGCAGCCTCACCGTCCAAATAACATATACTCCGTATATTCGATCTACAATCATCAACGTGTAATACAGTAATAGGGTGCAACTTAAGCAGCTGCCAAAAGCTACTGGACTTCAATTAGTTGTAGTGGTATTTAAACTGGAACCAAGCTCGAGCAAATTATTATCAATTGAGCAATACGCCGTAGATCCGAAGTGCAGCTAAATTATTCTTGGCCCTCTCGACTGGTGTGCCCGCTCGGGAATCATTACATGTGCATATTTTTGTCTCTGTGTGTTCTCGTAGGTTATGCTATATGTACGCCGCTTATTCAATTGAATGTATACTCTACAAGATGCTAGGTTACGCCTATTCAATCTAGATTTTATAAGATTCTGATAGATTGTTTAGAGTCTGTTGATTCTGTAAAATCAATGGATTGATAAAAGTTTACGCAAAGTTAGCTAGATTTTACTGTATTTTATCAACGGATTTCATAGGATTCTAGTAGATTGTTTATAATCTATGGATTATTTATTTTTAAAAAAATTCATACATTATGCTAACATTAATTATATTATGAAATTGAACAAAAACTTAAACTAAAAATAATATATTAAAATAAAAATAAATTATTTTTTAAATATTATTATCATTATTATAAATTTATTAGCACAAAATAATATATGAGTATGTACCATAAAAATATAATACAATACTACAATTCTAAAGTATATGAACCATAAGAAAATATTAAACCAAACATATTTTAGGAACAACTTAATAATAATACGCAAGTACCCAAAAACAATTTAATAAACTAGAGTACTCTTAACTCTCAGCAAAAACAAAGTCAAATAAAACATTTAAAATAAAATCACATAATTCTTTCATTCATCCTAATATATCTTCTCATTTTATCCTCTCATCTTGTGGTGTATCCAACTTAACCGTTCTTCAGGTAACATCTTCAAGAAGACATCTTTTTTTCCTTTGTTATCAAGCAACTCAACCGCCTTAAACTGGGTTTCTTCATCTAAGCCCGGGGTATCCTTGATGGCATCCCAAATTGTATATTCTCTTTTTCTTTCTCTTTTCTCTAGCAGGCTATAAATTCCTTTGAAACTTGTAGATATTTCGTTTAGCCTTTCCATGACGCCACTTCCTCCATATGTACTCCTGTTTCTTTTGGTTTGTGTTATTTTTTGCATGGGAACCTCGTGACTTTTAGGGGATAAGAGCGGTGATGTGGAGGGAAAAGGTGGGTCACTTTGAGATTGACTTATGAATGCATCATTTTCCAAGTCATAATCAAGGTCATCTATATGCACATCTCTCTCTTCTCCTGCGCTCAATGTTCTTGCATCAGTTGTACTACCTAACCCAATTGAGTTTTTTCCAACAGCTACACCGTTACCAATTGCGATTTCCAAGTTTTCATAATCCTGAAATTTTTCATAACGTAACTTGTTGCTATGCTTTGGTTGGGCCTATAAAACAACATAAAAACAAATTTATTATTGCATTACATCTTTCAAAAAATTTATTTATTCCAATAATTTTTCATATAATGTACTTACCTTGAAGTAATCTGCCCATACTTCATCAGTGGCAGTGAACATCTTTGTAGTAGAGTCAAATCCAAAACCAGAGCTAAAACGCATAAGCTCTGAATAAGCGTTCCATTTATTTTTAAACCATTTCAATCGGCTCTAGTAATTGAGATAGTTCTTGTGACACCCAAGCCTTGTATTAAGCTCAGGAAGTATCCTCTCTTCCAATGTTTGCTTAGAAAAAATATCACTATTATCACGCCATCCCCGAGCAGTTGCATCTACCATGAGCTCTAACAATACATCACTTTCTTTGGTTGTCCATTGCTCATATCCTCATTTTTTTGGTATCTTGTTGTTGATCACTCATCGTGATACTGCTACGAAAGTCAAAAAAGAAAAGAGTATATATCCAAAATTAGGTAATACTTCCCAGTTATTACTGAAATGAAAGTTCTTATATTATAAGCTAAGCTCTTATTATTATATATAAGCTTCTTATTAATTACTCCATATTATAATCAAATGGCTTCCTCTGCAGCTACTAGCAGTAAGTTTAAACAATTGAATACATAAAATAAGTTGCCCCACTCGTGTAGTAAAACCTGAGTGCAACACCAGTGTCAATGGAGGACCGGCAATTGCTTTTCTCTTATTGGGTTCAATAAGTAATTCTAGGGTTTGAGTGCAAAAAAAATACAGAGTGATAGAGAACAAAAATGCTCAAACATTCCATCAAAATATTTTTAAAAAAACAGAACGCAATACGAGTGACCAATTGATTTTTTAAATAAAAAAAATAATGAAAAAAACAGATTGAACGGGAGAAAACAAGCCTATAACTTGGAAGCATTAACAGAGGACCATAATATATACTGGAATTCTAATATACACTGAATTTCTCAAGCCAGAGGACCATATTCATACAAAAAAATTCATAATAAAAAAGAAATTCATTATAGTTTATTGGGCTAGAGAAGATCTTACTCTGAAGGCTTGAGAACGATGGAAGGAGGTTGGAGAAGAAAAACTTGTGCCGCGACAGAAGAGGAGATCGATGGAGAAGATTTGTGGAAGAAGAGATGAACTGTAAGAGGAGACCGAGAAGATGAAGTGAAAGAGGCTTTTGGATTCCACAAAATCCCTGGCCCTTCCTTTGGATTTGCAAAAATCTTTTTTATTTATACTTTAGGCTAAGAATCCACCAAAATCCATTCTTTATAACAATCCTTGAAAATCTATCAATTTTTCAATATCATTAGATTTAGAAAGACTTTTTAAAATCTCAATTGAATACCTCTAAATTTTAAAAGATTTTTTAAAATCCTGATTGAATACCCATTGACTTTTAAAATCCAAAAAAATCTTACAGAGTCTGGATTGAATACACCCCCTAAATCTGTATCCCAAATATACATCACTTGTTTTTATACCATTTATTTTATTTTATTTTAGTTTTTATTTTTTTAAACTTTACTTGCTTTTTTGTGGTAATGGAGGGGGTGGGGGATATTTACTAGCATTTTCCAAGTTGAAAGTTGTATAGTCTATACATACTAGGCTTTAATGGTTCCTGATGCACAAAATAAAATGTTACTGTAAATTTTTTTTATTGTATCAGTATTTGTATCAGTGTAAGCCATTAAAATATTGATGCATGTTTGTCATGTATAACTTCGAATACAGTTCTTGATGTACACCTAACATGATTGTATTCCATTTGTATAATGTTGGAGTATTAATATCATTATATGGAGTATTTTTTCTTTCTTCTTTTGAGGGGATACAAAGTATTATACTCCGTAATTATTAAAGAATTAGATTTCTATCATGTGTTTCGTACGGGCTTGTATAACGTGATCTTTTTTTAAAATTTTGTTGTAATATTTGCGTATTAAAGATATGTTGCAACGGGATAGTAGTGAGCTAGAATTTTACTCTAGAAATATGTGCTTTACGGAATATTTCATTTTTAGTTGTGTAGCAAAATATTTGGTAAGTAGGACATTTCTTGTGGAAAAATAATGGTTTACAAATTGTTAATAAACAAATGGAGCTTGTGTTTTGTAGTAACCAACAAACAATCTAAAATGGATGTGAAACAAATGTAAAATTAACTCTTAACGATACCTAAAAAGAACCATATTTGATCAATCAAAGAGAATATGAGAGGTTATAGTGAAAGCAGTAAACCAACAATTGGATAAACGAAATCATGAGCTTAAAGAAAAAACATAAATATAAATCTTAGATGAATTTCAATTTCATCTATCCAAAAAAAGTTTGAAAATCAAATCTTGAACAGTACCATTGGGATAATAGAGTCACCAAAACTTCATTTGTTTGAATACTTCAAATACCAAATTGAAGTGCTCCTAAATTAAGAAACCCACATAAAATATCCAGTTATGATGATAATATTGCTTTCTTTCTTGGAGCATCTTGAATGCTTAAAATTTCAAAACAAAATTGAAGTCAATTCAAAACACAAACATCTAGAATCAGTTATAATTTAAGCTCTCAACTAAGACAGAATTGCTAACTCAAAGAACGCACTATCTCTGAATTTGGTCTTGAAACGACAAGCACATGGCAGAGATACGTCATGCTGCCAGTTTTGATTGTATTTCTTCGGATAGCCTTCTCACTCCAAATGTCTGATCCATATTCATGAATAAATAAATAGAAAATGAGTAATTCTCTGCTGATTAACTTTGCAGGCTCGCACTTTCTATTCCGGGCAACATGATAAGCTTAGTTTGCACAAGTAGAGCACACCTCACACGTAGGGCGTGAGGCTTGTTTCTCCTCTTTCTGATTCTCTCCGTTTCATTTCCATGTGTTTTTCATCATCTCAACAATATATCTATTAGATATTGCATTGCAAGTGACTAAACAAACATTAACATCATGTAGTAAATGCAATGTACTTTAGTAGCCAGCTAATCAGAGTCATGAGTTTGCTTATTCTAATCAAGGTTGTTGCTCTAATATAAAACATGATAAGCTAATTCGTTAGTGAGATGAACGTGGATAGCATACTATAGAAATAATTGCATAAGAGAAAAAAACACAAAGGATACAATATCAAAAAACAAAGATGAGGCTTAAAAGCTAGTTGAACAGTCGATAGAGGTCATGTTGCAATAACTACTCCGAGATGATGAGCATGCTTGCATACTGTAGATTTTGAGTTATATTGCAAGAAAGGAAAATGCGCAATTGTCCTTTTTTTGTGAGAAAATAGATTTTCATGTTTTTCAAGTAATGAAGGAAAAAACTTATCTATGAGGTGAATATACTAAACCTGTGTTAATTACCTAACTTTAGTATTCAGACCAAGACACCAAAGAATGGGTTAGAGCTTCTTAACCGCCTAGCGGGTAAATTTAAGCCTCATAATTTAGATTGACCTATGACTTAGTTTATACAGTTAGCTCCAATTTCAAAATGCAAACTACTCTCCTGCAATAAACATAAGCTTACTTCAAGAAACTCAATCCCAAAAGATTAAAAATAACATAACTTCATAGTTTTGTCAGAATGGTCCAATGATTATTGAGGATCAGTAAAAACTCAAAGTATATCTCCAAAAACATATTAAACAGATTGTAATGATAAAAAAACTAGATTTAAAATATATTCTGCCTCATTTTCTTTTCTTTTCCTTTTTAAGTTCCTTGAATCAAACATAGTTTTAGCCATTCGAGATAGAAATAGAGGAGGTGCTAACATGTGTGAAAGTTGTCCTCC